AACCATTTTATGTTTTAAATATACTCACCCAATGCATGAAACCCCACAAAGCTTATAATAGTTTGTGAGCTCACCATGCTATTTAAATGTACATTATGACATTGTTGGTGAGGTTATCATTTTCATTACAAATTACCTGTTGCTAAGATGTATTAAAATGTTATTGTTCAGGAACCAGAAATTATTACATATTATTACAGGTGAACAGATTTCAGCAGGAAATAGTGATTGATAAAAGTGATAACATTTCTGGGAAATTTTGCACCAAGGATATCTACTGGTGGCTAGCAGCTGTACTTAAAACCATAGTACCTTGCATGTTGGAAAAAAGGCATGTTCCTCATCCCAATCCTTCCATATATTATGGCAGTTGGCTCACAGGAAGATTACCAAACTGTTTTCTTTCTTCTTTTTTTCCCCAAAAAGGAAGCCTTTTAAAATCAATCATATATATTGCCTTCTATGAACAGTGATTAACTCAAACACCTCATTACTTGGATGGTAAAAATGTGCATTAGCCTTCCTACAGGAATGGATACCAAATTTATAATTTCTGCACGAGATCTGAATTATGAAAACTATGAAAGGTGACAAAAAATAATTTAACTATATATGGTATAGTACTGTACTGTTTTTCTCACTTAAGGCATAAGTGACCAGGCTCAAATTATACTCTGGACACATTATGTGAAGACCTAGCTCTCTAGAGAAGGCTCTGGTGCTCGGAAAGGTGGAAGGAAAGAGAAGAAGAGGAAGACCAGCAGCAAGGTAAATAGACTCAGTTAAGTTGCAAGGAGTGCACTGTTGGAAGACCTGAAGGACCAAGTTAGGGATAGACTGTGTGGAGAAAATCTATGTGCTCGCTAACAATCAACACCAACTTGATGGCATATAATCAGTCAAAAATCAATGGTACTATATTACTGGAAGTGCTTTTCCTAATAAGGCAGACTAGAAATATTTTAAATAAATAAATTACATACATATATTTGTTAAATAATGTGTTCATTATTTTCTATCCTTTTCCATGCTTAAGTTACGCAGCAAGTTTTTTCATGGGTTGTCATGACATATAGTCTTCTACCACACGAAGTCTGCCTATTCTGAAATAAGCCTTATTGTATGCATACTTTCCTGAAAACTATTTCAGTCTCTATTAGGACTGTAACATTAACCAAGATGTTTAAATTAGTATATGGCAAATCAAATGCAGAAATAGCAGCCTCATTAAAAACAATCATGTTATTTACAAGCAACATCTTATCTGCTATATTGCTTCTCTGTACTCAAATAGCATAGAGTAGGAGTCTTTGGCTTCTAGATTAAAGAAATAATTAAGAATTTTTAAAATAGCACAAGCAGAGAACGGTTGTGTCATTCATGACTACTGATGTCATAAGTAACTTGATAGTCATGCACCTCACATTAGTCAGTATGTAACTGTATCAGCACTGCATGTTTAGTTGGGTAAAAGGAATATGTTCTGAAAATTTAAAATGTTAGAAAAGCAACAGAAGCAATTTCATCTTGAAAAGAGACATGGGAATCTTGTTCAACACTACATTCATCATGTGAAAAAAAATAATCTGAATCTGGAATGAATTATGTAATCTTCACACACAGCCAATTCACACTGCTTCATGGAGGATGGTCACAGACATGACATCTCTGAACAGTGAGATATAATGAAATAAAAACTGGCTATTCAGGCCCACAGTAGAAAATTATCTATCACTCTTATCTTCACAACTACTATCTCTTCCACAAGAGTCCAGAAATTTTCTTCAAAAGCAATATAGTATCTCAATGAAAAATTCAGCCAACATAGAAATTCAGAAAAGCCAGATGCTACCATACCTTATGACCTTTTTATATTTGGATAATATATACCTCTGCCTAGATTATCAAAGCCAGTAGATTTATAAGGACCTTTAACAAGCACAATGAGCTACAGTATATCAGTGCACTGTGGTCAGGGAGAAGACAGCACTCCATAAATACTTTTACTTTAACCAACAACGGCCTGCAAGTAGAATTTCTGCTTGGATAGATCATTATTTGTCAAATCAAGGCTACAAATTAAGCAATCTCCAAACAGAATAAGTTTGAAACAATTAGGATTGATATTTCTGTTTAGGTATGATCAACACTTCAACAGAGTTTTTGGAGTAAGCAGCCATACTAAATTTAATTAATAATGATACATAACATTTTTCTTTAAGTACTTTTTATAGTCTCTGGTTCTCAAAAATGTTTCTGAATCACAGAATAATGAAAAGTATTCCCATTGGTAAGAATCATTATGTCATCATAGTTAAACTAATATGATTGTTTGAAGCACTATAACAAAACAGTAATTTGTACCAATTAAAGAATAACACCAAATAGTCAGTAATGATACATTCAGCAAGTGGCCTCTTTACATCTCAGTGAAAAGAATTATTGCCTACATGGATAGTATAGATGTTAGCAAACATCAAAACTGAATATCACAGCATACACATTTCTAGCTTTTACAAAACATCACTTTCTGTTAATTTCCCACTATCATTATTAATTTCAATCAATCTATTTTATTTCTCATTTCAGTATTTTCTAAACAAAACAGACAAGCAAACAATATTGAAGTAATATCATAATACTGGGAGAGGCTGTGTATTTTTATAACATCTATGCATTTTTCATATCCCTCTATATCCTTTCACTTCAACAGTATGTCCACAGAAAGATCTGCTAATTGCACTTACACAGTCAAAGTGGTTTATTGTCACCATCTAGATAGTTTGTTGAGGAATAATAACTATTATACTTGATCTAATTTTTCATTTCCTATAACTATGTCTCATTAAAACTGCATAAAGTGTGAAAATCATTAAAATATTTATAACACAGTACTGTATTATCAACTAGTCTGTATGCTTGATTATCTCAACATGTTGCCAGATGTTATAGTCCCATGTTTTTGCACTGTGTGTTGTGGTCTTGCTTTTCCTATTTTCAGTTATTTGGATCCCATGTTAATAAAATGCAAAACATTAACAGGCCTTCCTTTAACATGTAATTTTTCCCTATAGTATAAATGCAGTATGAAGTGAGATAAACTGCAAGAAATCAATATTTTAAAACTAAATATACCTGGCAAATTATTTATTTAGTTATGTTTATTAGTTTAAAAAATTTATAAGCCATGTTTCTAAGTAAACTTTCTCAAACTTGTAAAGAACATTAAAATCACAAAAATATATTTGAATAATTATAAGAAATCAAATAAAAATGAAATCAGATATATTATACGCAAAAATACATTCCTAACTCAATTAAAGGCCAAGGTGAATAGGTAAATCTTCAGAGTCCATTCAATAATAATGGGGCCTAGTAAAGGTCAACTGAATAGAGTTCAGCAAGTAGTTGGGGTCAGGTTGCCTTGGGGAGGCTTGCATAGTCCACAGAAATTATAATGAATAAAAAAAAAGCACATTTTTCACTTTAGAACAGTGTTTCTCAACCTTCACAACTTTTAAGATGTCTGGACTTCAACTCCCAGAATTCCCAAGCCAGCATGGCTGGCTGGGGAATTCTGGGAGTTGAGGTCCAGACATCTTAAAGTTACCAAGGTTAAAAAACGCTGCTTTAGAATGAGGTCATACACAGAATTACATGGGGAAGTATGACATTTGTACCCAATGATTTTCTTGATATAGAAAACCATGATGATGTTGATCCAAAGGATAAAATAGGTACAACATATACTCTTTTGTATGTTAAGTGCCACTAATCGCTCTGTCAAAGATGTTGGGTTCCACCATGATAGGAGGAAAAGCTCACTTTCTCCAAAATTTACCAATATACATTTACAGGCATTCTATGATTATATTTTATCATTTATAGTGAACTTAAAAATTTGATTAAACCTTTAATGATTTATTATGGTTTCCATCTAAACTACTTCTGAGTCCCAGCTATGACAGATGAAGAACTACCAGAGGAGAACCACTACTGTAGTGAACTGACAAGGAAAGCAGCCTAGAGGGTTATTTAAATATACTGTTGCATATAAACTTAACCACGAACCAGTCAAATTCTGCATTTCACTTTTCAGATTGTGATTCTTTTGTAACCCAAATGTAAATTAGTACAGCCCTAAATAAAACAAATTCAATTCTTTCAGCATAAGGGCCCTGCTTATTAATTAAAATATGAGAAAATAAATGGAGATAGTAAACAATTAAATCTGTATGAGGTATAATAACTCTTCTCCTCTAGAATAGCTGACAGTTTCAAGCAACACATTCTATTCCTAAAAAGTACAGAACAGTACAGCAATTCATACCAAAAGAATGACCAAAGAACTGTAATTTATTCTAAAAGCTGTACAGTTTGTTCTCAGGCGGTGCAAACTAACTGTTCCATATCAGTATAAATTTAGGGCCTCACAGGGAAAACAAAGCTTTTTATCATCAGTGCAGTATTTAGCACAATGCTATCTTGGGTGGTTCAATTAGACAGATCACTTGTCTATTTTGTTAACTGAGATACTGATGTGTGAACTGGGCAGGACATACTGAATATCAGTCCAAATGCTACAACTATATTACCTCATGACGAGTATCACTCTGAAGTCCCAAAGCAGGGATGCATTCTTGTCTAAGACCACGGGACTTCAAAATAAAGTCCTACACCAGAGTTAGCCCCACTTCCTGGAAGGAGGGACGCACATCTCTCTATGGAACCCAAGCACCAAGAGTGGAGCATACTTCATTTATTCCTTTTAATGTCAGCCAAGTGCCAAACCCTCCCTTGGCCTCAAACTCATCTCCAGAGCTTCCAGAAAGAAAGCAGAGAATTTTAGAAGGAGGCTGGTGTTTGGTGGTGGCTGTCACTTCTCAAACCAAGCCCTGCTCCCCAGTCCCAGATTCGAAGAGGATTGTGGAGAAAGCTCTAAATATAGCCGCGAACGACTTGTATTGCTCTACAGCGTCAATGGCTCCCCTCCCTCCCTCTCTTCCTTCCTCCACCCGGACTGGCTGCAATCTGCACGGCCGCACAGATTCGTCGCACCGACCGTGTGCCTGCGCGTCTCTCCCCGCAACAACTCTCACTTCGCCCCGCTCCTTCTCCAAATCCCCAAGCCAGATGGCGGCGTGCGTTAACGAACCCCTTTCAACGTTCGGTAAGACACGGGAACCAGCGAGGCGGACTAAGGAGGGAGACTTGCATCGCATGGTCAAAGCTGGGGCAGCGGGAGAAAGAGAGCGAGCGGGCAGCCCAGAATCCGGAGTGGCCGACTGTGAGGCGAGTCCTCTTCCCAAACCCAGCTCAGGGCTGCGCTCCCACGTTTGCCCCACCGCCTCGTGCAACGCCGGCCAGGCACCGAGCGGGACAAACTGCCGCCCGCAGCGATGCCATGCCCTACCCTGCCCTGCCGTGCCATGCACAACTTGGCCCGTTTCCCTCGCCTTACCTATTCGGTAGTCTCCGTTTTGCCCGATTTCGGAAAGGAGCCTCCCCCACATGGTGCTGGTACCGCCTCCGCGGCCGAGGGAAAAGTGAGGGGCGACGGCAAGGCGGAGCGGCTCCCCGCGCGACGCCGGAGGACGCGGCCTGGCCGAGGGAGACGGAGGTTGGTCACTGCTGGGCGTTTGCCCCTCCTGCGGCCGTAGTTGCCTTTCGCGCTTTGCAGCCCGCCTTCGGCCTGAAGCAAGCTGCGGCCATGGTTGCTTGCTCAGGGGCGGCTGCAGCAGCAGCAGCAGCAAGGACAAAACTCCCTTTATTTCGCTGCCGCTGCCCTCACTGCAGCGACGCTTCTCTGCTCTTCTCTTCCTCCGCCTCCTGCTGCTTCGTGCCGGGCGGGGACAGAGGCGGGAACTCAGCAGATGCTGCTGCTCCTCTGAAGAGGAAGGAGAGAGAGCTGAGACAGAGAGCGGGATGCGCAGAGAGCGGGTGGCGTGGCAGGCGCTGCACGCCGCCTCTGCCCGCGAGCGGCATGGGGGTAATTAGAGAAACGAGGGAAGAATAGGAGGGGTGCTGCTGGAGAAGTATTAGGGCCCGCTTGGAACCCTGAATTGGAGAGGAATACAGGCCGAAAGCGCCTCTGACCACGTGCAAAGTGGCCCAAAGCCATTTGGCCCATTTCAGCATTGGGGCCAAAAAAGACTGAAATGCGCGTTAGCGCCTCTTCCTTCAAACAAACAGTTGCTAAGGGAGACTCTTGGTAATAACTCTCCACCACATGAACAATATATAAATAATGGATTACTAGTGAAACAAGAAACCTCTGTGGGTGCTTTTTGTGTGATAAAGGAACCTTGTAAAATGCTAATTATTTAGTTAGGTAAGTTGAATCACGTTAGAATAACCCAAAAAAGGTGGTGGATAATATACTACAGTATTTCATTCAGGAGGACCATTGAATTCCTCCAAGTGCCTGATACTCAAGGGATGTGGTTCCAGATAGAGTCAACATGGTTGAAATTAGAGTGGAAAGCGATAAAAATTGGGCCACCAATGGTTTCCCGCTTAGAAAAGTTTCCACACGATTTATGTGGTAACATCCAACAGCCGCCAGAATGACAAGAAAAAAGCAGAACTAATGGGTAGTTTCCTCTTGTGTTTATTTTTGTCTCACAGCTATACACCTCAAAGTTCAATCAAATACCATAGTATATATCAGTCTCGAAAAGGATGCCATGTGTATGTCCTAGATTTTAATGGAAACAAGTGTGGTCTGTTATTTGCCCATAAAATGCATGTAAAGACAGACATAGGTATTTTCCCCCCTCAAAAAAATTGGCAAACTTCTTAATCTTGTGTTGACATACAATATTAGAGTAAACCCTCCCCCCTCAAAAAAAATCAATCCTGATTAAAAAAATATTTACAATGTACAACTTTGCATTTTAACCCCTCTGCTGCTGTTAGATACATTTACCTGGGAAAACCTTATTTGTTGTAGTTCTGTGTTTCTTAAATGTTTAGCTCTCAGGAAACTTTCCCAGTTTAAAAATTATGGAGGACCCCAAAAGAGCTTTTGTTTATATGGATTATTATCAACATTTACCATATTAAAAATTAAAATTGATGCATTAATAGAATATTTATTTACTGAATCATGTAAAAATAACATTAAACCCTTAAATATTAACATAAATAAAATATTTTTCATGAAAAAAACTATTTTTTAACAAGTAAAAAATAATAAGAGTGACGTTGTTTTAAATTTTTGCAAATACCTTCAATATCTGGTAAATAATTTTGATTTTGCGGACCCCTGAGAGGGTCTTCGGGATCCCCAGAGGTCCTCAGACCACACTTTAAGAAACACTGTTGCAGATAGATCTCTTAACATATACAAATATTGTGTGTAAAATGTTTTTAAAAATAGGAATAAAGGCAGAATTTATTGGAGATCAATGTTAACTCTAAATGCCATGCTTTCCAAGTCTGACAAATTTGCTTGCTCTGCCTCCAGTGCCTGCTACCCTCTTACAGTCATGAAGCCAAGGAATAAAAAAAAGACAACTCTAAGGTGGGCCTAAATGGTTGAAATAGAGGATTGGCACCATCAGATACAGTACCAGAAGATAATTTTTAACAAATATCTAGGTTTAAATATTGATCTAGAGTGATTTAGCAGGAATCTTGCCTTTCTCATTTTAAATAAACATGTCAGATACAGTCTGATTATTTCAAGGATGTGGAAATGGATAGACTTCATAACTCACTAGGTGAAATCTTCTAACTTCTCATTTGTTAGTAGCATGAAGGAAAATTCTGTGAAGTCTTTGGCATAGTCAGCAACTTTCCAATTGTGAAATAACATTTGGAGGAGTAGTTATATGGTTTACATCTCAGCCTTTCTCATTTGCTTTTCCATATCTGCTAAATCATACTTTATATGCTCCATATGATATATTGCATTTGAAGGAAAACTTCTAATAGGACTTTTGTATCTGGTTTTTGCCCAGTTTCATGTGATAGATATATGGAAAGCTATTTTATGAATGTTGGACTTTGTTCATTGGACCAAAGCCTTATCTAGCCTAGGATTCTGCGCTGTCAGTGGCCAACAAGATGCTTACAAAAAGGAAGTCTAGAGGCAGGATGTGCAAAAGTGCCTCACAGACTCCAGTTCTGATTGTTACTAAGAGATATGCTTTCTCTGACATTCAAAACAATGGCAGAGTTCATACATTGCAGTAATAATATGGTTTTTCAGTTTTTGGCTTAATGTGATGTATGAACCCAACTATTTCAACCAGGCTACTATGATTTATTCAACAAACTGTTAAAAACAAGATTATGGTTACTATGATTTGTGAATCAACTGTCATGTAGCCATCTTGTCTAGTAGCCATAATTTTCGATTACCTTTTCTCAATACCCTTTGAAAACCATCCAAATTGGACAGATTATTTCAGTTCAGACATTTATCTAGGGAAACTTCACAGTCCCTTCTACCTGATCCTTTAGAAAAACATATAACAGGACTTTTTTTTTTTGTACTAACCATTTGGTGGACTCTGTCATTGAGCTAAGAAGACCCTTTTCCTGTCCAATAAGAATGTAAATCAGTACATGCAGAAAAAAGCTATTTTTCATCAGTGGGCTTCATTTTAAAAGACAAGATGTTGAATCATTTAAACCTATGTAAAATTTATGCGCACTACTTTGAGGTTACATTCTTCAGAAACATTTTGCAGAGAGCTCTCTCTCCTTTCCTTAAAATGGTACAGTATCCTATTTGACATCAGTCTAACAGAATCTCAAGTATTTATAAGTATAGATTTCAAAATGTATTGAAATTACATAACTACAATTCTGTCCTAAAGGACAAATTAAAGATAAGCATTTTGGACTAAAGCTAGCAAAGCAGTCCTAATTTTCTTGTAGTAGATATTTAGAAAAAAATATCTAGGTCTGACAATCAAGTAAAAGTTCCCAGCCACCCTTGGAGAGTGTTGGACAACTGTTCCTAATGCTTCAACTCTTATATCATCACTACTAGTGCTGCTACTTCTCCTTCTTCCATCTTTCCCATATGGATAGTATGGTTTAATTCAGAAGAACAATATAGGGAGCTACTTTATAAGCATATCTAATCCTGCATCTCTATGATATTACTATTTGACTACTTTTACACTGCTTAGTCTCCATTTTATCATCATGTAGGGGATCCATGAATTGCATGCTTATGTTGAAAGATACATATGTGATCAGCTCACTGGCACTTACAACATAAGGTATGCCATTCAAAGTTGTTCAGTCTACATTTTATTTCAGATCTGTATCATGGACTCAAGCTATCTATACTGTTTGAAGTTCACAACAGATGTACAGTATCCTATTCTGATGTTGTTGTTGACAAACTACTGTTCCAGGTTCTGTTTTCTATGACTGCTGTATTTATTTTTATGAAGTAAGAAGGGAGTCATGATTTTTAAAAAAAATTCTTGCACTTAGTCCTGTGATTTTGAATTTAGGAATAGCACAACAGGTGTAGTTATTTTTGTTTCTCTAGTTTTTTTTAAGAGTTAAAAGAAATCTAGTTTATAGTTCTCATCCTTAGCTTGTAAGCATATTATGTGACAGTAAATTACATTGGCTTATTTCCAAATAAATGCAGAGTAATTGGGGCCATAGATTATGTATTATTTATAGAGATTTTCATCATGAATTCCATATACTGGTATTAGCTACTACTTACCTGTGCATATGTACCAAGAGATTCAGAATTAAACTGGGAGTTTGTTATTAAAAGCAAAAACTGCTCTCAGTTTCTCTTCTACCTTTCTAAACTGCTCTGCAAGTGAGATGGGAAGGCCTCCATATACGCTAATAGGTGGAAGAGAAAAGCAACAGAAACTCCCTTTCTTGTCCTCTCAGATATAAGTTTTATCAAATTGCAATGTACTGTACTTAGTCCCCTGGTTCACTGCTTTACTAATTGGAACATCTTCAGATGAAATCTGTTTTTTGCTTTTTGGTAATTGACAGCACTGAATCCAGGAGTGCTTCCTTTTACTTAAGTGTAATAGTTGACATCTATGGTTTCTAATTTAACAATCAATAAATATTTATAATGTAATTTTTAAAGTATAAGAAAGTAGGCACAAGAAGGGGGAGGATATGTCATTTGCTCCTAAAGATAAAATTACAGCTATTGTTAATATT